ACATCTGAAAAAAAATGCATTGTTGTAATTGTATAGTTTCTGACCTTGAAAGTTTTGCACTGGGAAAGAATTACACTAGAAACCTGCTGACTGTTATATTTTTGTCTTCTAAATAACATGACAATGCTGTATTCGTAAACAGAATGATATTCAATCCATGTTTGATCGTATCCAAACCCTATGCAGGCTCTTTTTTATTGTTCTTAGCACTTGTTGTGTTTATGTTTCTGTCATCATTTGGAAGTAATATTTTTGTTGATTCTACTCAATCTTGGATAACAATTGGATTTAGTTTTGTTTGTTGAAACAAATTTATATTGGTATTCATAGGCACTGTAATCATGATCACACATGAATCTAAATCCAATTTCTAGTCCCAATAATAGTAGAGACAGAGAAGTAAAAGAATACTTATTCTAGTTCAGAATAATTGAGCCACGGTGTTAAATAAATCTCTTTATATGTCACTCACATATATACCCACCCAGTGTTGCCAAGGTGTCAGAGGGGCTGTTTTGAGCTCTGAGAAGACCTATTCACAACACTTCCATGGCAAAACTCTGGCAATGGTGAGAAGCCTCTCTATATGGTTCTATGTCCTCATCTACACCGCCATATAAAATCCAGATTATTGGCTTTGAACTGGATTATATGGCAATGTAGACTTATATAATCCAGTTCAAAGCAAATAATGTCTGTTTAGATAATCTGGATTATATGGCAGTGTAGAAGGGGCCATAGTTCAAAGCAGATAGTCTGGATTATCCGTTTTGATAATCTGGATTATATGACAGTGCAGATCCAGCCTTTGGCAGTATAGATGGGGCCTTTCTTTCCTTCCTACATTTCCCTCATACCCATTCTTCCCATTTCTTTTCTTCCTTTCTTTCCTTCTTCCCTTGCTTTCCCTCATACACTTCCTCCTTCTGTCTTTCCTTTCTCATTTTCTTCTTCTTTCCTTTTTCTTCCCTTCTTTTTTCATTACTTCTCCCCTTATACCTTTCCCCCTTTCCTTTCTCTTTTTTCCTTCCCCTTTTCCCTCTTTTTTCTTTCTCTCCCTTTCTTCTCACTACATTTTTCCTCCCTCCCTCCCATCCTCTTCTTTTTCTTTTTCCCTTCCTTCCTTCTTTTCTCTCACATATCACCTAGCAACAGCAAATCCACCTCACTCAGTTTATTTCCCAGTTACATGACAGAGGGCCACTTCACCTAGTCACAACCAATCCACTTTGTTTCTTTTTGTCCCTCTAATCTGGATCTGAAAAGGACATTTCTGAATTCAAACCTCTCAAATGTTTTAAGTTGGGTAATGAAGGGAATGTTTGCCTACTTTGGCCCAGATCCATTAAGCCAATGGTTCTCAACCTTCCTAATGCCATGACCCTTTAATACAGATCCTCATGTTGTGGTGACCTCCAACCATAAAATTATTTTTGTTGCTACTTCATAACTGTAATTTTGCTACTGTTATGAATCATAATGTAAATTTCTGATATGCAGGATGTATTTTCATTCACTGGACCAAATTTGGCACAAATACCCGATACGCCCAAATTTGAATACTGGTGGGGTTGGGGAGGGATTGGTTTGTCATTTGGGAGTTGTAGTTGCTGGGATTTATAATTCACTGACAATCAAAGAGCATTCTGAACTCCACTGACGATGGAATTGAACCAAACTTGGCATACAGAACTCCCATGACCAACAGAAAATACACAGAACTCCCATGACCAATAGAAGGGTTATGGGGCATTCACCTTGAGTTTTGGAGTTGTAGTTCATCTACATCCAGAGATCACTGTGGACTCAAACAATGATGGATCTGGACCAAACTTGGCATGAATACTCAATATGCCCAAAGGAAAATAGACCTTGACATTTGAGAGTAATAGTTGCTGAGATTTATAGTTCACCTACAATCAAAGAAAATTCTGAACCCCGCAAATGGTGGAATTGGGCCAAACGTCCCACACAGAGTTCTTTCTCCCACCCTGGACATTCCATAGGTATATTATATATGCTCCACTTGCTTCACTGTCAACAGAAGCTCTGAAGAAGCCAGCCACAGATGGAGGTGAAACTTTAGGAGAGAGTGCTGCTGGAACATGGCCATACAGCCTGAAAAGCTCACAGCAACCCTCTTCTAATATTTTTATAAATCAGATTATTATTTATTTTATATGAACAAAGTCATACATAATTTATGATCCTAAGAGTTTTTAAAAAGTTCCATATTATTTTCTCTCTGTTGACTGGATTCAGAGTTTGACACAGCAATGAAACTTCTCACAGAGTTTATTAAAATCAGGTGGAGTTTAACTACTATAGATCTACTCACATAGTATTTTTCGCAAAACTGCACAAAAATGCTAGTGAGTTTCTGCTTTGTGTGTACATTTTCCACCTGCCTATTGCCTCAAAGTGCAAAAAGAACATGTCTGAATTGTTACAGTGACATCAGCATATATGAAACATTACGCCACAATGTAAACAACAGACATGTTATTGCCCCGAGAAGCTTAAAAAATTAGTCTAAACAAAAGAAGCAGCAGGAAAAACAAGGATATTTCTATCTTGCATGATCAAACAAACATAGGATTTCCTCCATTCATTTTTTTGCCAGTCCTAAGCCCTGTCTTCATTGCAAAATATTGCAATTTGAGGCTGCATTATATGGTCAGAGACTCATATAATGCAGTTATATATTCCAGCTGCATTATTATTAATAATATTAATATTAATACCCCACCACCATCTCCCCAATGGAGACTTGGGGTGGCTAACATGAAGCCAAGCCCAAAAGTTGCAATACAGCCAAGTAAAAACGACAAACAAGTAATAACATCAAAATAAAATGCAAACAATATCAAGTATACAATAAGGAAACACAACATAAAATGGTAGAAGAATAAAAACAAAGTGGGTGGGCCAAATGCATAGGATAAACCTGATAAAACCCTGGATGAGATAAGTAACAGAAGTAGTGTGTGTCTGAGGGGAGAACTCAGAAGGTACAAACAGTGGGGACAAGAGAAAGCGCATCAAGAGGGCAGATTGTATTGGGACGAACATAGTATGGGAGTATGTGTTCATTCATCAAAGGCACGTCAGAAGAGTCAGGTTTTTAGGCCTTTCTTAAAGGCTGCCAAGGTGGGGACTAGCCTAATCTCACTGGGGAACAAATTCCAAAGCTGAGGGGCCACAACGGAGAAGGCTCTCTCCCTCATCCCCACAAGTCGCACTTGTGATGGAGGTGGGAGCAGGAGGACTGCCTCCCCTGTTGATCAAAGAGATCGTGCAGGTTCGTAGGAGGAAATGCGGTCACTAAGGTAGGCGAGTCCAAAACTGTTCAGGACTTTGTAGGTAGTAACTTTGAATTGGGACTGGAAAATGAATGGCAGCCAATGGAGCTCCTTAAATGTGGGGGGGGGGGGGGTAAGACCACTCCCTGTAATTCACTCCAGTTAGTAATCTGGCTGCCAATCATTGGACCAATTGAAGTTTCTGGGCCATCTTCAAGGGCAGCCCCACATAGAGTGCATTGCAATAATCCAATCTAGAGGTAATTAAGTATCATCTGTAAAAAGGTCTCAGCATCTTCCCTTTTATCTTATTTAATATTTTGTTCATTTGCCCTTTCCGCCTTTGCTAGTGAGGGACTTGGTTTGGCCTGTAGTTCAATGTGTTTTGAGTGTTTTGATTAATAGGCAAAAAAAAAATTTTAAAAGCAAGTTTAGAGTGCCTGGTACAACCCAGGAATATCAAATGAAACCATAACACAGCGTTAAGTACAAAATCCTTATAAAAGAAACATGTGTTTTGGGTTCCTGGGACAGGAAACAAAGTACAAAGGATTCCCATAATTTGCCTTTCTGAAATGTTGGGTTATGTGATTTTTAAAACTTTTCAACTTTGATTTTTTTAACAAGTCTGGAGAAAACAAGCCACTTAGGTATTCGGCGGAAGTTTCAAAACAGCCCAACATATTCAGCTTATTCGACGCTATTCACTGACAAAAAAAAACATATTTTTACATCATCCAGAGATCAAGCTCTAGTTGTTTCACCTTGATTCTTCAATTATGTAAAAGAACATATTGCATACCTGTAATTGTGTTTCTTCAGGCCCTTCCACACAGCCATATAACTCAGAATATCAAGGCAAATAATCCACATTATCTGCTTTGAATGGGATTATCTGAGTCCACACTGCCATATAATCTAGTTCAATGTGGATTTAATATAGCTGTGTGGAAAGGGCTTTCGAATGGTCATCTGCGAATTCACACAACTGGATAATATTGTGCCTGCACAGGCTCTAACGAAACTTAGTCACAGCTTTGGACTGGAGTTAAAGTGTCAATATTTTGTGAGTGCATGCTTTCACACCTAGGCAAAGAGGACCTCTCTGTAAACTGTTTCAGAGCCCCATGTGCAAAATATCTTCATGAGCAGCTTATGTTTCAACTCATGTTTGAGGATAGTTGCCCAGCATCTCCCCTTACACCACGACACATCTTCGTGCCAAAACAACCACATACTAAAACGGATGCCTTTCTTTCCAGCTCCAGGTGAGATTTCTCAATGTGACTTACATATTGCCACTGAACATAAGTCTAGTTTATGAACTCTAGTTAGCTTGGCATAAACTTCTAAGCACCAGGAAAACACTGCCTTTATGTTTAGTTGTAGATCACTTTCCAGAGTCAGTCCATTATTACCCTTGGAAAATCCAGGCAAGTTGCATTAAATTTTTAAGACACTCAAAGAATAATATACAACTCTAACATGTGGTGAAAGGATTTCTTTGAAACTGTCCACTTAAAATTTATGTTTTCTACATCTCTCATGAGTCCCAAACATTAAAAGATAATAGATAAAAACTTGAAAGTGGGAGGAAGAAAATAAATACTTTTGATTGGTTAACTTTGTTTGCTTTTTCCACCCCCAACAAAACTAGTCCTTTCCAAAGAACAGAAACAAGAAGCACAAACTGCGTACCTTCACTGGTAGCGGCATTTCTTTGAGTTTTGGTAGGTGTGTGATCTGTACTTGAACTCACGTCGGATGAGATGCTTGAGCTCCCTTTACCTGCACAAGACAAGATGGGGTATTAGAACACCTTTTACTAAAGGCAATATTCTCGGTATGTAGTTTTCTGCTCATCATGGGGTCCTTAAATTAGATAGCAAGGTCCACTGGCATATGAACAAAACAGAAATGCAACAGGCACAAGGCACACAGTGAAAATGTGTATGTGCACACTAAGGAAAATGCAACCTAAAAACAACCTCTGGCTCCCAGCCCTTTCTTTTGTGTACTGTTTCTAATAGGATTGTTTCTTTCTTTATTTTAATTTGTTTTTAACTTCATATGAGCTGCCTTAGGTTCTATGCCTGGATTAAAATGGGATACAAATAAAATAAAATAAAATAAGTTGTTAGGCAGCAAGCATCAGCAGATGTTTTGGTAATACAATAACAACAACGAAAAGCTTTTAAAATGTTAAAAAATAAAAACCTTGAAAAATCCTCATGCGTTTCATATGGACTGCACATTAAAAGTGCATGTTTCAAAATTCTGGAGCATCTGCTAAGTAACAACAACATCCACCTGTCATTTCCATAGCAATGCATTATAAACAAACAGTTGTAATGTCATCTCTCTGTCACAGATCCAAAGGAATGCAGTCCTCAGCTCCAGCTGAGTTCTGTTTATTTATCTGTGGAAAATAGATTTACATGGTTTGCATAACTGTATTTATTTATCTATGCAAAATTACAAGGAATCCATACAACTCATTTGGGCCAAAGAATGGAGCAGACATGCCCTAAAAAGCTTTTCTACAATCTAGAAGGGAGTCTTTGGGCCAGATGTAGACATTATTGAAAGGCAAAACGCTGTTCTATTTTTATACGTTTTTATAAACTAAAATCTAGCTATAATAATGAAAATAAAACCTATCATATACTACTTAAAAGAATATATATAAAATAAAAGGCTTAAAAATAATTGAAAGTTGACTTCCAACTTCCCTATCAATTTTATATGTGGTACTAAATCCTGCTCCCCCCACATTTTTGTTAGTTTACACATCTAGTTCTTGACCTAAATTGCTAATTCTCAAATCTCATGGTTAATATCGTCTCACTTTTCAGATGGTGTCAATCTAAGTGTCAAGAAACTACATCCAGCATGGCCAATGGCACATCCTCCCGTAGCCAGGATTTCGATTTGGGGGGGGGGGTTCGGGGGGGTTGGGGGGCTGACTTTCGGGGGGGCTGAGTCTGAGTGAAAGAGGGTCTACCCTAGCAAACCTTTTGTATCATTACCCCAATACCCCCATGCATATGGGATATATTGAGTATGGTGATCAGATCATGATATGAATAAACATAACAGTTTAAATAATGCACCAGTAAGGCCTTTTCGCGAACCACCATGAGAATTTCGGGGGGGGGGGGCTGAAACCCCTCAAGCCCCCCCCCCACCTACATGCCTGTCCAATGGTATCAATCTGAAGGGTCAGTCTGGATTTATCTCCTGTCATCCACCTCTACCTTTACTTAAAAATGTCTCCGTTTCTTTCTCCTCCTCCCACTTTTCCCCTTTGTCATCAGCTTACTTGAGTTGCTGCAAACTGAGTTTAATATGCAAAAGCAGGCTGGATCTATACTGCCATATACCCTAGGATTTGATCCCATATTATCTGGTTTGAACTGGAGTCAATCCCCACAGGACCAGCACCTGCAAAGATCGATACCTTACCTTAATTTTTATATATGTTTTTTGGAAAATGGAAATCTTCATACGCTTTTTGGGGATTTTATGATCTTTGGAAAAACATGATCTTGTTAGAAGTCACAACCTTTTGAAAAATGATGCCATAACCTCTTGGTAAAAAGTATGACCTGTCAAGAATCGTAATCTTTTGGGGAAATGGCATTCTTCAGCATTCATGCAAGGCAACTAGGTTTCTCAGCTATTAAACTGATGTACCTAGGTATGTCTTTGAACTGATAGGGACAAAGACATGCCAATGCACATAAACATACATATGTATTCAGCAGAGTTTCAGAAGTGTTCCTTTTAGTTGCCCAAAAACATCTACTCTCCCTTAAAATATATTTGCCTTTAAGTCATTCTCTCAAGAGACAAAAATAAGCAGATTTCTTTAAAAGTAACATAGTTGCTTTACTCACAAACTTTGTGTATTCAGCATACAGATACTTTGCTTATCATTCCAGTTACAAATAGGATTTGAAGTAGTTTCTCTCTGTAGGTAACACAGGGTATCATCTATATAAATAAAAATGTAATGTTCGTTTGTGGGATTAACAGAACTCAAAAACCACTGGACGAATTGACACCAAATTTGGACACAAGACATCTAACAACCCAATGTATGTCCTCCAGTAAAAAAAATGATTTTGTCATTTGGGAGTTGTAGTTGCTGGGATTTATAGTTCACCTACAATCAAAGAGCATTCTGAACCCCACCAATGATGGAATTGAACCAAACTTGGCACACAGTTCTCCCATGACCAACAGAAAATACTGGAAGGGTTTGGTGGGCAGTGTCCTTTGGTTTTGGAGTTGTAGTTCACCTACATCCAGAGATCACTGTGGACTCAAACAATGATGGATCTGGACCAAACTCTACATGAATACTCAATATGCCCAAATGTGAACACTGGTGGAGTTTGGGGAAAATAGAATCTTGACATTTGGGAGTTGTAGTTGCTGGGATTTATAGTTCACCTACAATCACAGAGCATTCTGAACCCCACCAACGATAGAATTGGGGCAAACCTCCCACACAGAACCTCCATGTGGGCCACAGCAATGCGTGGCAGGGGACGGCTAGTTTCCTATAACCAACAATCCAAAGTCCAAATCACTCTGTTCTGAGAGTCTAACCTGAATTGTGACTTCTAACAAGGTCATGCTTTTCCAAAGATCATAAAAACTCCAAAAAGTTATGAAGATAACTTCTCTGTCTAGTCTGAAAGCATACTGTTCTAAAATGGAGTCTAGAGCATACTGTTCCCGCATTGAAATCTGAAGCATACAATTCCTACTGAAGTCTGAAATATACAGTTCCTATGAAGCAAACAATTCCTACTGAAGTCTAAAGCAAAAAAAACTGTTTCAAAAGTGGAATCTGAGTCCTGAAGAAGCCCAGTTCTGATCACATGGTCTGCAGCCCCTCCCACAAAAAGGAGTTAAGTAAAACTGTAAACCAATACACACATATACAATACAGTAAACAATCTGTATTATATACAAAACACATTACTGGAGGCTTGAAGAAGGTTGCTATTTCCAACAGGTATCAATTTAATGGGAAATCCCAGTTTACTCCTCATTAATCCGGGTTAACCTGAGGCATCGTTTTTATGCCTCAGGTTAACCCATGATGGATTTCATGACATCTGTATGTAATCTTAAAAGAGAAGATTCCCTTTTAAAAATGCCTTTGGTCAGACTTGCAGATAACCATTTATTTGGGCCATAAACAGTAAAAATAGAAGCATTTGTAATCTAAAAGATAATGTAACTCTTGTAACTCGATGGGTGCCAGTGTTTCACAGTTTAATGAAACGAGCCCAAAAATAACACAAATACTTTCAGTTGAATACATGTTTAGAAGAGTTTGGAAATCAGTGCTTTTTTGTTTTTGTTTTAGTGCTCACATAACCATTTTTCTTTTTTTAAAAGTTTTCTTTAGAGAGAGACAATCCATGAGATCACTGCTCAGGCATAAATATTTAAACAGATTGTGTGTGTGTCTGCTTGCATGCTTACTACATGTTTACACAAAGAGCAATTGTGATAGATACTGAGCCGTATTTGTGACAAAGTGCCGAGAGACCACACATGGAGTTCCCTTGTATTATTAAATAGCACAAAAACATATAGGAGTTAAATTTTGTTTAGATTATTTCAGGGTTTTCAGGATCCTGAAAACAGGAGAAGCATAGTACCAACAAGACAAACCCTGAACAATTATGGGGCATGCAATAAAAGTGTTAACATACAACAAATAATCAAGAAGAACCACATAAATTTCAAGTTATGCATATATTGGTATTTAGGCAAAGATTGTAATGGCAAGATCTGTATCACTCTGGAGATAATTAGGTAGCAATAGGTCCAGTAGGGATCCATTCCTGGTTCTTTCTGTAATATGATTTTTGATTAACCAGAAGCCTATTTTCTTACATATAATGAATGATGTTTTGGGCTTCCAATGAAATCATACCTAAGATCATTCTGGATAGCCTAGATAATGTCTAGAGAAGCTTCTGATACAATTTAATGGTCCAATGGAACTTCAAGGGAAAGTTGGAAGCCTGTTAGAACATTATCTAATTGCCTAATTTAACATAAAAGTGGCAATGACCTGTAGTATGCAGTACAAACTCTCCATAACTTAGTAGGGATGGGTTAATTAAACCCCTTCTGAGACCAACAACAGAATTGTGCTCTTTGGAAGAATGCACTGAGCAAAAGAAAGGAGAGAACAGACACCTCCTTCTCCCCATCTACTTCTTACTTTTTGCCATCACATCTCCTTCAACTTATGGCAGTCTTATGAATGGCAGACCTTCTAGATTTCCAAGAATCAATTGTCCTGCTCTTGCCAACTCAGAGCCATGGCTTCCTTGACTGAATTGGTCTACCTGTAATAATGCCCCTCACTTTTCCAACTGCCTTCCATTATACCAAGCATGGTTGTCTTTTCCAATGAGTCACATCATCTTATTATATGTCCAAAGTATGACAGACTCAGTTTAGTCATCTTTGCATGCAGTGATAGATCAGGCTTGATTTGCTCTAATATCCATTCAGTTTTTCTTTTTTAGCAGCCCATTGTATCTATAGGACTCTTCTTCAGCACCCCATTACGAATTAGCTGATTTCATTCTTGTCAGAATTTGTCACCATCCAGCTTTCACATCCATACACACAAGTTAGAAATACTATGACCTGGCTGGTTCTAATTTTGGTATTTAATATGTCTACATTTGAGGAACTTTTCTAGTTCCTTCATGGCCACCTTTCCTAGTCTTCATCTGATTTCTTGA